CTCTCTCCCTCCCTCCTTCCCTCTCTCCCTCCCTCTTTCCCTCTTTGTCTCCCTCCTTCCCTCCCTCTCTCCCTCCCTCCTTCCCTCTCTCCCTCCCTCCTTCCCTCCTTCTCTCCCTCCCTCCTTCCCTCTCTCCCTCCCTCCTTCCCTTCCTCCCTCCTTCCCTCTCTCCCTCCTTTCTTCCTTTACTTTATTATTTTTTTTCTTTTTCTTTTTTTTGAGACAGAGTTTTGCTGTTGTCACCCAGGCTGGAGTGCAGTGGTGTGATCTCGGCTCACTGCAATCTCTGCCACCTGTATTCAAGCGATTCTCCTGTCTCAGCCTCCCGAGTAGCTGGGATGAAGGTGCCCGCCACCACGCTCAGCTAATTTTTGTATTTTTAGTAGAGGTGGGGTTTCACCATGTTGCCCAGGCTGGTCTCAATCTCCTGTCCTCAGGCGGTCCATCCGCCTCAGCCTCCCAAAAGTTCTGGGATCACAGGTGTGAGCCACTGTGCCCGGCCCCTCCCATCCTTTTTCTTTTTCCCTCCTCTTTCTCCATTCTCTCTTTCTTTCCCTCCTTCCCTCCTCTCCTCTCTTCTTCCTTCCCTCTCCCTCCCTCCCTTCTTTCCTTTTCCCTATCCCCACTTTTGTCAACTTTTTTCTTTTCTTTTCCTTCTTTCCTGCCTATTTTTTAAAAATCCTCTTTTAGTTCTTTTCCTTAATCCCATTGCCCTACTGCAGAGAACCTTGTTCTCAGGAAATACATTTCATGTGTATTTCCTCCTACCATTTTGTGTTTTTGCAAAATGTGTACTTTTTTTTTTTTTTCTTGAGACTGGGTCTCACTCTGTTGCCAGGCTGGAATGCAGTGACGCAAACAGCTCACTGCAGCCTCAGCCTCCCCGGGCTCGGGATCCTCTCACGTCAGCCTCCCAGGTAGCTGGGACTCCGGGTGCACACCACCATGCCTGGCTAATTTCTGTGTTTTTGTAAAGACGGGGTCTTGCTATGTTGCTCAAGCTGGTCTCAAAACTCCTGATCTCAAATGATCTGCTCACCTGGGCCTCCCAAAGTGCTGGGATTACAGGCATGGACAGGCCAGTCAGCAGACTTTTGACCCTAGCTTGACCTCTGAGCTGTGGACTCCAAGGTTCCAGATGCTGAGGCTTTCCCAGCTCATCCCCAAGATCCCCGTTCCCTGCTTCCTGGTTTTCGTTGTTGTTGTTTGTTTGTTTTGAGACTGAGTCTCAAACTGTCACCTGAGGTAATCTCGGCTCACTGCAACCACCTCCTGGGTTCGAGCGATTCCCCCGCCTCAGCCTCCCGAGTAGCTGGGATTACAGGCACCTGCCCCGCTAATTTTTGTATTTTTAGTAGAGACGAGTTTCACTATGTTGGCCAGCGTGGTCTCACTTTCCTGATCTCAAATGATCCGCCCACCTGGGCCTCCCAAACTGCTGGGGTTACAGGCCTGAGCCACTGGCCCGGCCCCTGCTTCCTGTTTCTACCTTCCCAGGATCCTGTGTGCTGACTCCTGACGTCCATCCCTGCCCTCCAGGTGGTGGTAAATGGAAATCCCTTCTATGAGTACGGGCACCGGCTCCCCCTACAGATGGTCACCCACCTGCAAGTGGATGGGGACCTGCAACTTCAATCAATCAACTTCATCGGAGGCCAGCCGCCCCCACCACCCCAGGTATGAGGGGTCCCGTCCCTTCTTTCATCCTTCCTTTCTAAACTCAGTTCCACATTCATTTCTTTTTTCTTTTTGAGAGAATATTGCTCTGTCACCCAGCCTGGAGTGCAGTCACGTGATCCTGGCTCACTGCACCCTCCACCTCCCAGGTTCAAGCAATTCCCCTGCCTGAGTCTCCCAAGTAGCTGGGATTACAGGCACCCACCACCACGCCTGGCTAATTTTTGTAATTTTAATAGAGACGGGATTTCACCATGTTAGCCAGGCCAGTCTTGAATTCCTGACCTCAATTGATCCACCCAGTTTGGCCTCCCAGAGTGCTGGGATTACAGGCGTGAGCCACCGCACCCAGCTGGGTTCCACATTCATTTATTTCCCAAGCATCTCCCTGTGCTGAGTGATGCCAAGAACACAGTGATGATCAAGGCAGCCCACTGGGAGACAGACCCATCACTGCAAGGGATCAGGGCCAGGATGGGGATGCCCAGGCTGAGGGACTGGGGCCCAGGCAGAGGGATCAGGGACAGGATAGGGAACTGGGGGAGGGCAGGCAGAGGGGTCAGGCCCTGGGCTAGACAGGGCTGGAGACAGGAATGGCTGAGACATCTCGGTGCCCTGACCTCACCGGTTCACAGACAGGGCATCAGAGAGCAATAGCCCAGAAATGGTCAGGGCCGTGACAGGGAGGGCACGGGCAGAGGGGTCAGGGCTGGGATTCCGAGTATGTAGGAGGTCTCGGAAGTCAAAAGGAAGGGCTTGGCTTGTCATGGGTCAGGAAGGCAGGGCTTCCTGGAGGAGGAGGAGGTGTGTAAAGTGAGTCAGGAAGTGAGGGTAAGGAAGGGCAGAGAACACACAATAGTGAACAAATCCCCAAGAGGTTGCTTAACACCATCATTAAAAATAAAATACAATGCAAGTGAGTTTCTTAATTTTATTTAATTTTAATTAATTTTGGGGGTATAGGGTCTGGCTCTGTCACCCAGGCTGGAGTGCAGTGGTGCAATCACAACTCACTGCATTCTTGACTTCCTGGGTTCAAGTGATCCTCCCACCTCAGCCTCCTGAGTAGCTGGGATTATAGGCACATGCCACCATGCCCAGCTAAATTTTAAATTTTTTGTAAAGACAGAGGGGAGGAATCTCCTTATGTTGTCCAGGCTGGTCTTGAACTGACCACAGGTGATCCACCCACGTCGGCCTCTCAAAATGCTGGGATTACAGGTATGAGCCACTATACCCAGCCTGTAAAGCTACTTTGTTGTTGTTGTTAAGATGGAGTCTTGCTCCGTTGCCCAGGTTGGACTGCAGTGGCAGGATCTCAGCTCACTGCAACCCCCGCTTCCCAGGTTCAAGCAATTCTCCTGCCTCAGCCTCCCAAGTAGCTGGGATTACAGGTACCTGCCACCATGCCTGGCTATATAGAGCTACTTTTAAAGGGCCTTTGGAATAGCTGGCTGAGAATAGAAATCAAGGCAGAAAGGAGTTAATTACAAAGAGGAGAAAAGAGGAGGAAACAGACAGGGAGAGAGAGAGAGAGTAAACGTTAAAGGTGTTAGGCTTGGGAGGCCGAGGTGTGCGGATCACCTGGGGTTGGGAGTTCAAGACCAACCTGACCAACACTGAGAAACCCCATCTCTACTAAAAATACAAAATTAGCTAGGTGTGGTGGCAGTTGCCTGTAATCCCAGCTACTCGGGGAGGCTGAGGCAGAAGAATCACCTGAACCTGGGAGGTGGAGGTTGCGGTGAACTGAGATCACGCCATTGCACTCCGGCCTGGGCAACAAGAGCAAAACTCCGTCTCAAATACATAAATAAATAAAAACTAAAAAAATAAAAAATAAAGGTATTGGGCAGAAGGAAGCCCCTATGCTGAGGTGTGGCCAAGACAGAGACGGAGACAGAGACTGAGACACAGAGACAGACAGGCAGAAACGGAGGTCAAGTTCAGGGAGTGAGTGTCCCGGGACAGCAGGGGGACAGCACAGGGAAGGGCTGAGAATGAAATGGGCCAGGCATTGTCCTAACGCTTTGGGGTGACTCACTGGGCATTGGCGATCCCTCAACATGGGGTGCCACCCTTTGATGCCAGAGTTCCCTGGCATGGTGCTGGTGGCGGTGGTGGTGGGCTGCCCCAGGGAAGGCACCCTCAATATCTTTCAGTTATAAATCTGGGACCCTCTCATAACTGCTTTCTCCTTCTGCCCACAGGGACCCCAGATGATGCCAGCTTACCCTGTAAGTGCCTGCTGGTGGGTGAGGGTCCTCCCCCCAGTGGGGGTCCCTCAGCCCCGCTCACCCTCCCTGTCTTCCATCTATCATTCAGGGTCCTGGACATTTCCATCAACAGCTGAACAGCCTGCCCGTGAGTGCGGGACTGGGAGGTCCCCGGGGGTGGGGTGGGAATGCTGGGAGTTGCGGTGGGGGGACTAAGAGGGGTTGCAGCCCCCAGTTGTACTAACCCAGCACCTGGAGAAGCGCTGGAGTCTAATGGGTGTGTCATACATATCTGTCGACTCTTGGAGAATAATATCGCTTCTTCTCCCTTCACAGTCTATGGAGGGACCCCCAGTCTTCAACCCGGTATGGCTTAGGGGAAAACAGAGACAGGTGGTGGGGAGGGGGCATGGATCCCTGGGGAAACTGAGACAGCCAGAAGACAGTGGGCTGAGGGTGTTTGGGTTGGGAGGTGTGGGGAGGGTAGATAGAGTTGGGTGGGGGTCAGGGTTGGGGAGTGGAAGGGGCTGGGGATATTTTCCAGGAGGAGTTGGGAAATTTGTTCTCAGAAAATTTGTTCTTGGCCGGACACGGTGGCTCACACCTGTAATCCCAGCCGTGTGGGATGCCAAAACAGGTGGATCACTTCAGGTCAGGAGTTCCAGACCAGCCTGGCCAACATGGTGAATCCCCCTCTCTACTAAAATTACAAAACTTAGCTGGGTGTGGTGGTGCACGCCTGTAGTCCCAGCTACTCAGGAGGCTGAGGCAGGAGATTCGCTTGAACCCGGGAGGTGGAGGTTGCAGTGAGCCGAGGTCGTGCCGCTGCACTCCAGCCTGGGTGACAGAGGGAGACTCTCTACAAAAGAAATGTGTTCCTGCAAGGCTGGGCATGGTGACTGACGCCTGGAATCCCAGCACTTTGGGAGGCTGAGGTGGGAGGATTGCTTGAGACCAGCAGTTTGAGGCTGCAGTGAGGCTTGCTCATGCCACTGTACTCCAGCCTGGGAGACGGAGTGAGACCCCATCTCTTATAAGAAAAAGAGAAAGGAATGGAGAGGGGAAGGGAGGGGAGGGAAAGAGAGGAAAAGAAAAGGAGATTTCTTCCCACATCTGGCTTGCTAAGCTGAGAGAGAATGGGGCCCCGCGTTCTCTTCCCTCAGCCTGTGCCATATTTCCGGAGGCTGCAAGGAGGGCTCACAGCTCGAAGAACTGTCATCATCAAGGGCTTTGTGCCCCCCACAGGCAAGAGGTATGGAGCGTAGGCTAGGTGGGAGCCCCCAGCTCCTCCTCCCTCAGACCCAACAGTCTAGACCCTCTGCCCCCTCCTCCTTTAGGGACCCAGAGATCTAGTCCACAGGCCCCTCCCCCGTGGGCTCCCTCTGACTCCCCCCTCCCTCTCTGTCTCCAGCTTTACCGTCAACTTCAAGGTGGGCTCCTCAGGGGACATAGCTCTGCACATTAATCCCCGCATTGGCGACCGTACCGTGGTCCGGAACAGCCTGGTGAATGGCTCGTGGGGATCCGAGGAGAGGAACATCTCCCACAACCCGTTTGGTCCCGGACAGTTCTTTGATGTGAGTCTGGGCTCTCTTTTCCCACCTCCCTCCAAAGCCACGGTCCTGGCCCAGCCTCACACCCGCCCTCTCCCTGCAGCTGTCCATTCGCTGTGGCTTGGATCGCTTCAAGGTTTTCGCCAATGGTCAGCACCTCTTTGACTTCACCCATCGCATCTCAGCCTTCCAGAGGGTGGACACGGTGGAAGTCCTTGGTGATGTCACCTTGTCTTATGTCCAGATCTAATCTATTCCTGGGGCTATAACTCATGGGAAAACAAAGATTTCCTAGGACTCCTTTCTAAGCCCCTAATAAAATGTCTGAGGGAGTCTAATGAGTGTGTCCATTTGCACCCTCACTGCTCTTCCCTTCCGTGGTTCAGGCATGCACTTCATCTATCGCTCATCCATCTCGTCATCTGACCATTCCTCCTCCCATCGTCACAGATCTGGTTATGCCCCAAGCACTGATTTAGGGCTCATTCACTCCTCACAGCAACCCCAAGAGGTAGAAACCATTATTAACCTCCCTCTGTAACAGATGAGGAAACAAAGGAAAAGAAAACCAATGGCCCAAATTGCACAGTGCATAAATGGCAGAAGAAGGATGAAAATCCAGTTGGTCTGGCTCCCAAGGCTGCACACTAAACCACTATGGAATGACAGCCTGTCATTCCATCCCTCCATGCCTCCATCTCTCCACTCAACCATCCCAACATCCATCAGTCTCTCCAGGTATCCAAACACAAGTCCATCCGACCACCCACCAATCAGACATCCTACCATCCAGACATTCATCAATCCATCTACTGATATGACGGTTTTTTTTTTTTTTTTTTTTTGAGAAGGAGTTTTGCTCTTGTTACCCAGGCTGGAGTGCAATGGCACCATCTCGGCTCACCGCAACCTCCGCCTCCTGGGTTCAAGCAATTCTCCTGCCTCAGCCTCCCGAGTAGCTGGGACTACAGGCATGCGCCACCATGCCCAGCTAATTTTTGTATTTTTAGTAGAGACGGGGTTTCACCATGTTGACCAGGATGGTCTCGATCTCTTGACCTTGTGATCCACCCGCCTCAGCCTCCCAAAGTGCTGGGATTATAGGCGTGAGCCACCGCACCCGGCCTGATATGACTGTTCAACTGTCCTTTCATCCAACCCTTTATCCATCTACCCATCCATTTACCTCTGCACACACCCACCTCATTGTCAGTCTCTCCAAACATGCAATCAACCGTATGTTCACCCAACATCCAACCATTCATCCACTCACCAGTCCATCTAGCTCTCTCTATCCCGCTGCTTGTCCATTCATTCATTCATTCATTCAACCCTTTATCCATCGCCCATCCATCTGACCATCCATCATCCTCCCATCCATCCAAATATCTACCCCTCTACCAGTCCATCTATTCATTCAGCCGTCCTTACATCTACCTTTCATCCCTCCATTTATCATGTAATTCTCTGCTTTCCATCACATTCATCCATTTGTCCTCTATATGCCATTCATCCCTCCATTCACCCATTCATCACTTTTCCATCTCTATCCAATTATCCATTTATTCATCTCTTATCTTTTTTTTTTTTTTTTTATGAGACGGAGTTTTGCTCTTGTTGCCCAGGCTAGAGTGCAATGGCAAGATCTCGGCTCACTGCAACCTCTGCCTTCCAATTTCAAGCGATGCTCCTGCCTCAGCCTCACCAGTAGCTGGGATTACAGGCACGTGCCACCACACCCAGCTAATCTTTGTATTTTTAGTAGAGACTAAGTTTCTACTGTTGACCAGGCTGGTCTCAAATTCCTGACCTCAGGTGATCCACCTGCCTCCACTCCCAAATGCTGGGATTACAGGTGAAAGCCACCGCACCCAGCCACCTGTGTTTTTCACAAACAAGGACAGGTTCCCACATGTCCACTGGCAAACACGGTGACAACGGGAACATGAGCACGGCTGGATCGCTCCCATCTAACCCAAAGGGCCAAGCACATTCACCACTTGTGCTAATAATATGTTCTTGTCACTGTATGTTTTGAAATGTGTGCCACATGCATATGTTATCTTTACGGGAAAAAAAATAGTATTTTGAAACCACTCGACACAGCCAAACGAAATAAAAGTGATCTCATTCAAGCAGGAGCCCCGAGGACTAGGAGAACCCAGCCTCTCCTAGGCCTCCTCACCTGAGCGGGGCTCCCTCCTGACCGCCGCCCACCCGCTCCAGGGCCGGGCGCAGGAAGGGGCCACCCAGCCCGAGGCTCGCAGGGGCCGAAAACCCCGGGTCCTGCACACGCCTGGGCCCCGCGGCGAACCTGGCGTCCCCACCCCACTCCAGGATCAGATTCAGGCCAGGCCAGGAACCACCCGAGCTTCCCGCGTCCGCCTCGGTCCAGGCTGCAATGCGGGCGGCGGCCGCCAGGGGGCGGAGGATCCGGGCCCGCGCCCGGCGCGCCCCACCGAGGCGTGGCTCAGGACGAGGGTTCGGGAGCCACTGGCCCCGAGCACCCACGTGCAGCTTCCGCTCGCAGCCCCGGCCTGGCTCCTCGGTCCCCGGCTGAGACCTGCGGCCGCTGCAGGGCGAGGGGGCGGGCTCGGCTCGGGGCGCACAGGGCTCCCAGCCTCTCCCACCCCAACCCCGCCCTTACGGGGAACCCCAGCGACGCCCTGAACCCGGAAAGTGACACTGGGGCCGGGGCTGGACTTGGCGCCCGCTTCCCCTCCCGTCACAGTGACCAGGGCTGGGCCGGGGTCGGGGCCGTCGGGGCGGGCGGAGGCCGCGTGGGAATGGGGCTCGCTGCGCCACGGAAACCCCGCGCCGCCCTTCGAGTCCTCCGGCTGCTCCGCACAGCCGGGGCCGCTGCCATCGCGTCTGCCCCGAGGCTGCGCAGGCTGGTACCTGCCGGGACTCCGGGAACAGCCCGAGCCGGGAGACGCCCATCGGCCTGCCCAGCCCCACCCGGGACGACTCTGGGGGCGGGAGGCCGGGAGAGAAGAGAGTGGGAGATGAGGGGCAGGGGGAGAAGGGACCCGGGGATGTTATAACACGCTTTCCGCGCGTACAACTGGGGCCCACAGGTGGCCAGAAAGGCGGGATTCACTGGCCCCCTTTGCGGATGGACCCATGTTGGAGCCCCTTAGATCTGCGGTGGGGGCACAGAGACCTGCGGTGAGCACCTCCACACCCCTAACGCCAACGGATCCGCCCACCGCATGCCCGCCTGGCTGGCTTTGCACAAACGCTGCGTCAGGACACGCCCCAGGCCCACTCCCTCCCACATGGCGACCCTCAGGCCTTCGTAGGCAGAAAGTGTCCTAAGCACACGCAGGTTCAAAGCCCGCCCCCGCCTCGGATTCGCTGTGTGGCCCGCAGCCAGTATCTTGGCCTCTCTGGGCCTCACTTTGCTCATCTCAGTGAACCGGACACAGACACAGGCGCGCTTCGGGCTCACGCTTTATTTGCCATCCAAGGCCCCGGGCCCGCCTGGGCGCCCGCTCAGAAGATCTTCACCGAGTCCAGCTGCACGTCCCCGCCCACCTCCACCAGGCGCACGCGCGCCAGCGGCAGGCGGTGGCGGAAGTGGTGGTACTGGGCGTCCCCAACCACGGCCTGCAGGGGAGGGTCGCTGGTGAGGATTCCGGAGGCCCGTGCTGGGTGGCCCTGGGGAAATCGCTCACCCCCTCTGCGCCTCAGTTTCCCCACTGAGAAAATGGGGCTGTTGTTCTTTCTAACTCCTGTCGTCTGGATCAAAGCAGTTTACTGGGTGGCACAGCAGAAAACGGCTTTTTTAGTGCTGGTAATGGATATTCTTATTTAAAGCGCAGAGGAGGGAGGTGAACTCGCGTAAGGCCTGGGTGGTGGGGGATTTGCCGCCCCCCCACCCCCATCCTTGCTAGGACGAGTTCCTGAGCGCGGCCTCCAACCCATCCCTCCCCCTGCCTCCGAGCCCGGACCTCAGGCACAGGGAACTGGGAGTCGGGTCGGGGATGGCGAGTCCGGGCCACGGCTTCGCGCTAGGGCGCCCACCCCTTGGGTACCCGGCGGGGCTCGCCTCGTCCTGACCCTGCTGTCTCGCTGGGGCCCGGGTGGGAGTTGCTTAGGCCAGAGAGAGGGGTTCTGGGGACGCGCCTGTCCCGCCTTGGCCACGCCTCCTCCACCCCTCCGCCCTCCTGGCCTTTTCTCTATCCCGGTGCTGCGCGGAACCCTCTGCTCCGGGGACCTAGGTCTTGGCGTCCATGCCCCTGTCGCAGAGACGCACCTTGAAGCCGTCGTCGGACGCGATGATGAGCACCTCGAAGGGCTGCCCGCGCTGGAAGGGAACGCCCGGCCCGCGCTCCTCGCGGCCCCAGGAGCCCTGCTCCAGGCTGTTGAAGACCACCTCGGAGGTGTCCAGCCGGGGGTTGAAATGCAGGACCGCATCGGAGCCCTGCTCCTCCCCGCACAGCAGGTTTACATGGAATCTGGAAGTGGGGGATGGTGGCAGTCAGGGCTCAGAAACCACCCAGAGCAAAGTGAAGGACTAACAGGCTGGGACTCCCCATTCCCAGAGCACCCCCAAATTGACAGGGACCTGAAGACAGGCACACACCACAGAAGGGGAAGTGGCAGACTAATGGTCAAGGAGCCCAGATTCTGAAGGCAGCCAAAATGTCATGAGGCCCTTGGGGGGAACCCACCCAGACCAAAGTCACTATGCGCAGGGTGCCCTCCTCTCCAAAGAGCCTGGGAGCTGCCCAGGAGATCTGGGTGTTGGCCAGGGTGTTCCTGATGCCCAGGGAGCCCTCAGTTTCTACAGGACAAAGAGCAACACCAGGAACCCAGTATTTCCAGGGTACCCCAGAATCCAGAAGGCCCAAAGTTCCTCAGCCAGGAAGCAAAGGACGACTTGGCCAGGACTCCCAGAGTCCAGGGTGTCTCCAGGACTCGGAATTTTCCAGAGTTCCCCGGGACCCAGATACAGAAGTCACAGGACTATAGGAACCCTGAGATTGCCCAGGACCCCCAAATTCTTAGGGAAACTTAGGGACCTTAGCCACAAATTCATGGGGCAAATAATCTAATACATCAGATTTGAGGTCAGAAATAGCCTTGGACTCCTAGCCTGGTGGGTACAGATGGCCCAGGGCCCCTATTTCTGGACTGCAAGAGTTGGGGGTCAGCTGAGCCTGGGACCTGCACCCTTTACACCTAGGGCCTGGGGCCTTACCTGCTGGCATTGGGAGGAACCACACCACGAATTCTCAGCACCGTGCCAGGGCGGATGCCCTCGGGCAGCGAGGTCTTGTGGGGGACGTTCTGCAAGAGTGGGGTGCGGGGGCCACTGTGAGCCGGTGAGACGGAGGGAGGGAGACAGAAGGTGGGTCGCCCCTCAGAGGAGCTGACCACGACTGAGACTGGCAGAAATCAGTGGGAGAGAAAAGGGTGGCAGAGAGGCAGGAAAGAGATGGGGAGAGCAACAAGGAAAAACAGGAAAATGCTCAGAGGGAGCCAGAGGAAGCCACGAAGGGGGAGAGGGGACAATCAGGATCGGGGGCCACCCAGAGGCCACAGCCCAAGACCACCCACGGTGCACCCACTGCCCACTTGCTTCTTTGAAAGGGGAGCCCCCAGTCCCTCCCTACAAGGCCCCGCCCTGGGCCCCTGGAGCACTCACGGACATGGCTGGGACAGGGTCAGGCAGCGGTGGCGGTGGGGACTGCTGGGGACCTTAAGTAAAAGTAGGGCAGGGCTGGCCCTGATGACTCACCCCACCCCTTTCCACCCACCACCCACACCTGGCACAGACCCTGGCCCTGGGACAGGGCTGGGGAGGTGGGAGCTGTGCCTCTTCCTGGGAGCCCTGCTCCCCTCCACCACCCAGGGCCCGCATGCCCTGCCCCCTCCTAGGAGCTGATAATAAGAGGGACCATTTAATAATAATAAACTCACAGCAGAGAAGGCTCCTTGTGCCACCGCCCCTCCAGCCCTGTCTTCCCGCTGCCTGGCACACAGAGAGCCTCTATCTCATATTATGCATTTATTTGTTCTTTGCAGACCTGTCTGAAAGAAGTAATTACTTTTATTTTATTCACAGACATAGTCGGTCCTGGGAGGCCAGTCTGGGTGGGAACTCCAGACCCTTCTCTCCAGCTGAGAACCTCCTGCCTGGACCAAGGATGTCCTTGCTGAAATCGCAACTTCCGCCTCTGTAAGGGAACAGCCGCGATAGTGACAGATGGGGCAGCTTCCCAGGGCGGGGGTGAGGGTGCTGCCTGATCCGCTCAGCGCTGCACACCCGGGTCCTGGAGTGTACTCAGCTCGGGGGAAGTCCTCGGTGAGGAGGGGTGAAAGGAGGGGATCGACTGGGACTACACCTGTCATTTCTTAGGTCCCTGGGCTGCCCAGGATACGCAGGAGATCACTGATTGGGGCCCCATAATTCCAGCAGGGAGGAACACTAGTCGCTCCCATTGTACAGAGAAGGCTGAGGCTGGGATGGGAAGGGATTTGCCCAAGGCACCAGTGGTACAGGACCCTCTGCCCTGACCTCTGGCTCTCCCGACCTCTAGGTGCGCCTCTCCTGTGGGCTCTGTCTCTGGGGCTGGCTGCCTCGCTCTGTCCATGTCTTTCTCTACCGTGTATTCCTGTCCCACTTTCTTTCAAGTCTGTCTTGTTCCTCTTTCCAGGACTGCTACCATCATGCCACCAAGTTTGCAGGTCAGGATGAGCTGCTGGACCACCCACGACCCCATCACCACCTAGATCAAAAGCAGAGCAAGATAAAGACCATCGGCCGGGCGCGGTGGCTCACGCCTGTAATCCCAGCACTTTGGGAGGCTGAGGCGGGTGGATCACGAGGTCAAGAGATCGAGACCATCCTGGTCAACATGGTGAAACCCCATCTCTACTAAAAATACAAACAATTAGCTGGGCATGGTGGCGCGTGCCTGTAATCCCAGCGACTCAGGAGGCTGAGGCAGGAGAATTGCCTGAACCCAGGAGGCGGAGGTTGCGGTGAGCCGAGATCGCGCCATTGCACTCCAGCCTGGGTTCAGGCAATTCTCCTGCCTCAGCCTCCTGAGTAGCTGGGA